GGAGGGGGTGGGGCGCAGATCATTGAAAAGCAAAAAAAAATTCTCCTAATAAAACAGCAATCGGTAAAAGTTCAGTCTATAAAAAGAGAACCTACCTTTTTTTTTGGGGGGGGGGGGGTAAATTACAGGTATCTGGTATTATGGGAGATTCGAACCTCCTACTACAGCGACGAATGAGAGAGAGAGGGGGGGAGGGGGGCAACTGGCCCCGATATAGATATTTCTTTGCTAAGTTAACTGCAAGAGAATATGCTAAGGGGAAAAAACGGAAGAGGGGGATGCCACGGAAATTTTGCAAAAAATAAATTATGAAAACATTTTGAAATGATCAAATAAATACATAAAAAATAGTTCCTGATAAAAATGACTATTGTATCAATTTTCTTAGATTGTTCCGATAAAAGCTGACTTGAAATTGAATTGCAATACATTTAGGATGTAGATACAGCTAATGTGGAATTTTTCCAAAAGCATTATGATCAATGTTGAAGAAAATAACAATTACATCCACGATGATATTAGGATTAAAACTATTTATGAAACAGAAGAAACAACAGGTTAAACAATAGATTAAGTTGTTAAGAAATTACAGACTTCTGACAAATTTCGATAAGACGACATCTTTTGAGAATAAATCTCTGGTAGGGGAATAAGAACTAGCAACAAGTGGTTATGGGTGTCAAATTCAAATGTTAAGAAAACTTTCAAAACCATCAACCACACCAGTCGTAAGACAACAAAGACAGTAAAGAAATCTATATTTTGATAAAGATGAAAAAAAATTTACACTGCTGATGTTTCGAGAGGAAAAACTCTGATAACCATAGAATATGTTTAAAAAGGCTTTTTTTTTGTCTGACTGTTGCACAGGCACTTGACGTTTTTAACCTTTGTTTTCATAAATGAAAAATTCTCCATACTATACATGTAACAGTATGGAGAATTTTTTATTTAGGAAAAGAAAGGTTAAAAACGTCAAGTGCCCGTGGACTGTTGTATTCATGTACATCTGTACGTAATAAATTAGTCACGTTTCGTGTTGAAATCTTGAACGTCGAGTCTCAGCTCTGATATCTCGATACCCCGGATATCTCGACATTTTTTGAAAGTTCCGTTGATGTAGGGATACTAAAGGAAAAATATTAAACAAGCACACACAACTTTCTGATTTTAAAGAAAGAAAGAAAAAGTTTCTATTTCAGTCGTGTGGTAACAGGCAAAAATAAGAGTAATGCTCTTTAATTTCGAGATTCTGACAAATTGTTATTTTTTGAAACAATAACTTAATTATTGTTTAAGAATATAATTTTATGTACATTTCATCGCATCGAAAAATGAAAAGATTAGGTGTCAGGTTAGCTGATGCCACAGAGGAAGATGAATAGATGATCTTAATTATGTTCAAATACATATATTCAAGCAGGTCCGTAGTTAGTTTTAAAAGTTCGGGGGGGGGGGTGTGGTCGGGGGAGGGCAACTTCCTCCAAAGATCTGAAAAGCCAAAAAAACAAAAAAACAGAACAAAAAAAACAAAACAAAACAAACAAACAAACAAACAAAAAACAAACAAACCTATACTGACTAAAGCCCCGGAGTTGGGGGGAGGGACTTCCCAAAATTATCTGACAAGCGGAGAAAAGGGAAAAACTTACCTGTACAAATCCTGGAATTTACCAGTGCTCCACCTTACAACAACAAAAATGGGGGGGGGGGGCACGTATAAGAGGAAAAATTGCCCCCCCCCTCCCCGCGTTCTACGGGCCTGTTAAGTCTCGCATGATATTCGGTTTCAATTTCAAATAGATTTCATAAAAATTGTAAAGCAACTGTTTTTCATTTAGCTCAGAAAAGTCCGTTTAGTCTGTATGTATATCAGGTTAGATTAGCGGTCCTTTTAAGAAATGATTAACGACACTTGTTGTGTTCAAGTGATACAGCAGTAGTGTCGAGGGCACAGGTGCCTCAAAAATAATTTTAAAAAAAAGGACAGAAACATTTTAAACCGCTTTTGATTTAGTGTAATTTACTGAAAAAAGTAAGTAGTTGACAAAAAAATTATAAATTTTCATGTATACAGAATAAACGTTCATAATACAATTATTTGACATCGTTATGTGCCTCTTTGTTATGTTTCTACTCCATAACTAAGACAGGCGAAGAAATTGAATTGTATAAACAATTGAAACTTAATTTTTTAATCATTTTTATTAAAGAATTAAGAAAAAGCTAAATAAAAAATCCCCTTGGAAGTAGTGAACAGTTTTTTTTTTATTAATTATGATTGTTTTTAATGAAAATTAAAAAAAAAAAAAAAAAAAAAAAAAAAAAAGGTTTACAAATCATGGAGTATCTGAATTAATTTCTTGTTAGAAGATTTTTGGAGATACAGAAAATACATGAGGTGTTATCTCTTCGTAACAAAGTTATAGGGGATAAAGAAACGTGCGTGTATGAGGGTGAGTGAATGCGTGCTTATATCCGAATTTTTTTTTCATATCGGGTTCGATGTGCTCTTTCGCGAGGGGATGCCCCGCTTTAATTGCACGAGGTGCCCTTCTGGGATATCTATATAGATTTTTTCATATTTTAATATTATAAGTGCTTTATATTTTTTATAAATTGAGCTAGAGTAGGAATTTTAAAAAGAATACCTTATGATGTGGAATTCAACAAGTATTAATTTTTCGACTGAATAAAAACCGTTCCTATATCCCGTCTAGACCCCTACCCCACCCTTTACGAAATTGCTAGACTTGCTCTAATATAGTATGAAAATAGTATGTGACTTCCCTCATGAATAATTACATACTAGTTGCTTGGTAGAAAAAAGTCACAAGTTTATATGAGTCAAAACGATTGAGGTAATTTAAAAAGTGTAGTTTTTAAAAGAATGTTTGGAAACTGAATTTGACGCACTTGACGTCATTACGTTTTCAGTAAGTAACGTCAACGTTGTTTTGAAGCGGCCTTACTAAAATGCGCATAAAATACTGATAAAGTGAGATATTTTAAAAATTGATGTATATTTGCATTCAGAAAGAGTCAGGCTATCAGAATTTGACAAAAAGTCAATTTGTGAAATTTTGACCTTAAGGGCGCTTTTCTCATGACGGCAGTCATTTACTTTTTCAATTGAATGTGTTCCATATCATTTCATTTGATCATGTGGTACTTATGTTATTCAATTTTAAAATCAACTTGTTTTGTCATCAGCAATTTTTTCGAATATTATAATTAGTTCGTCTTTCAAAAGTTCCGACCACAATGAAGCGCCCATCAATCTCCATTGCAATATATATATATATATATATATATATATATATATATATATATATATATATATATATATATATATATATATATATGACAGTCACCATTTTATTAACACAATAGTGTTGTGTTTCGCATGTACTATGCTTAAAGGCCCTTTCACAATTGACGCACGAGCAGAAGGACAAAATATTCGTGCGACCGAAAATTTTTGATTTGCATCGTAAACTGTTGCTGAAATAATCGCATATGAAAAAGTATTCGTACGAAATTCGCACGATCTAAAGCGACCGTTATGCATTAAATCTTGCGATATATCTTGCGTCTATATGCGTCTGTTGTACAATGAAAGCGAGTGTTGTAAGATAATGCGAAATGATCGCGCGAGCGATCAGGTGATCGGACGATTGAACGTGGACCAATGCGATTGGACCTAAGGCGCTCGTGCGGTCATGCGTTCCATGGTACGAATGCTCGGCTCGCGCGAGTCATAGAGGGGTATATATACCACCCGTTTCCAACCCTCGTCAGTTGAATGCAAGAGATGCCGCCCAAGAAGATGACAAAAGCTACAGGTAAAGCCAAGGTGAACCGTAGAAAGAAGGTCCAAGAGGAGGAGGCACAGGAGCTGCCGCAGCAGCCGAGCCCTGTTCATGATCCGCCTGAGCCTGCCGACAAGGGGGAAGAGCCACAAGACTAACCAGCTGAGCCTTTAGAGCCTGATGGGTACAGTGAAGATGAGGATGAGGAGGATCTTAGCAAACAGAAATCCTTGGACCTGACTCCAGAGCAGGAACAAGAGATGGCAGACTTTTATCAAGAAACCCCCTGCTTCTATGATAAAAGTCGGAGTGACTTTAAAAACTCTAAGAAAAAGGATCGCCTAATTCAGGAAAAGGCAGCAGCTATGAATTTGACTGGTGGGTAAATCAGAATATTATTGAACATTTTATAGATTTATTTTGATATATTTTATTGTTGAATATTTTGAATTGTTAATGTTAACCAATTCTGGCATTTGTTTCTTTTCAGTGGCAGACATTCGGCTCTGGTACAGATCCCAGCGGACCATCCTGGGCAAGGTCCAGAAAAAAAAGAGTGGCCAGAAAAGATGCAACCTTACAGCCAGGCAGAAGTGGGTGGAAAGAAACTTAGGCTTCCTGACAAGGCACATAGTGCACCGGCCACAGGGATCCCAGCTCGGACAAGTAACAGCTGATGATGAGGACGAGGATAGTGAGCCCTCCTCCTCGGTTACAAAGGCACCCATCCGGAAGAAGCAGAGGAAGAAGAAAGACTTGGATACAGCAATTATTGACGTGCTGGAGAAGACTGACAGGCAGACGGTCGACCTGACGGCTAAGGTGGACGCAGCAATGAGCCACAGATTTGTAAAAAGAAACCAATGAAACAAACTCTGTAACTGTAACAATAAAGAACTCTATATCTTTTGAACAATAAAGATCTCTGTACAGATCTGAACGCTATGTAACTTTGTACCACCAGTCGACCAGCCCTTGCCTAGCCCCTTTAATGCCGAGCAAGTTACAGTAATTCTAGTGATATTAGTGCTCTACTTACTTTCGACCAAAACTAGTTAAATGATAACTATATCCTATTTATACTGTTCAAGTAAATCAAAAGTATAGTTTATAGTTTATTGCTGTACAAATTTAAATCTTTACATGAAGATATCGACATATATACATGTACATGATCAATATCACAGTCTATATCATATTCTGCTGCCACGGCAAGCTCCCAACGTTGCTGTTGTAGTAATGTTTGAGGTAGGTTCGGATTCTCTTGCCCTCCCGATTTGGCAAGTTACCTCTGCCAACTGCTTCCACATCTTGCAGAACTCGGTCTTTTCTCCATGCCCCGGGGATGTGGTTTCCAGCTTCATCTTCCTGATCCAGGTCGTTGTTCTGCAAGCCAGGATAGCGGAGTCTCATCAGGTTGTGCAGGCATATGGCTGCCATGACGATGATCTTAGCCCGGTCTGGATCCTGCTGCATCGTGCCCAGCATGCATCTCCAGCGGTGTGCAAGGATGCCGAAGGTGTTCTCCACCACACGACGAGCCCTTGACAGACGATAGTTAAAGATCCTTTCTTCGTTAGTCATGTTGCGGTTGGAGTAGGACTTCATCATCCAGGACCTGAGGGGAAATGCGTCGTCTCCTACTAAGAAGTACGGAATGGGTCTGTCATCATGTGACAGGGGCTCTGGATCTGGATGGCGTAGAGTGTCATTTTCCAGTCCATTTCTCAGTGGGCCATTGTTGAAGATCTGGGCGTCTGATAAGGAGCCTTGAGTACCAACGTCGGCACAGAGAAACTTGTACTCGGCGTCGACCAAGGCCAGGAGGATAATGCTGAAAAACCCTTTGTAGTTGTAGTAGAAGGTACCAGACCGACGTGGGTTTCTTATGGCAACATGTTTTCCGTCCACGGCTCCGCATGTGTGGTGAAAATTCCATCTTTCACCATATTTCTGTGCCATTTCTCGCCACTCATCTTGGTTAGTTGGAAAAGCAAACACTTCGTCTTCATACTCGTCAATGATGGTCTGGCACACCTCTGGGATGAACAATGATATGGTGTTATGGGCAACACGGAAGGAATACTGGAGGTTCATGTAGCTGTTTCCTGTCACTATATACCTGAGAGTGATAGCCAGCTTTAGCCCAGGTTCTAGTGGTCGTCTGTAACGTTGACTTTTCTGGATTCTTGGAGTAATGCGCTACAGTAGCTCGTAAAACATGACTGGTGGCATTCTCATGTAGTTCATTAAGTCCCCCTGGCATTCTCTCTCTATTTCCGTCATCAATGTGTGATACTGGCCAAATAACACGTTCCTCTCAATCCATGGCTTGACCCACCAACGTCTTCTTTGTCTTTCATATCTTTATCGACGACGGATCAGTAACACCAACACATCCATATGTCTTTGCTGGAGTTCGTGGAGTTGTATTCGGAGATTCAGCACACCAAGCAGACGGCGAGGAGGTATTGGTGCAGCAGCATCCATTGTCAATTGTGGTCTGAAACAGAGATGCTTATACAGGGTATATAAGCATGGAAAACTGAAGCTGATAAATCGTGCAATGATAGTAAAACATTGCAAGATTACATGAGACACGTTGAGCAACAGTCTCAAAACACACGCTAAATACACGCATATACAGCTGCGATTCATCTTACGACCTTTAAAAATCGTGCATCACTCTTGCGAGTAAACAAAACGTTGTAAGACGTTCGTACTAATTTTCATGCGTTGCATTGCAATAAATGTGGATCGCATTCGGTCGCGTCTGAATAGTGTGCATGTCCACTATTTTGAAGAGACTTGATGCGACCACTAAAACGCATGCAACGAATACGAGAAATCGTGCAACGTATGCGAGAGCTCGTGCGAAGCTAAAACTTTCCGATCGCAAGGTGTTGTAAAGTGCTCGTGTGCCAATTGTGAAAGGGCTTTAACAAGTGGTCGGGATTTGACTAGAAGCTGGTGCATTTGCTTTGGGTTCCTGCACTATATGTTAAAATCTGACTATCATTTAGACAGAGTACATGTAAAATAAATACTATTTCATGTATATAACTTTAAATACACCGTTTGACGATATTGAAATTTAAGCAATTATATTTTTGCATTGAATTTTTGTCTAAAATAGTTTTTAAACCAAAAAAAAAGTTTATGGAAATCTATTTCTTACCTGGTGCCAGTGTCGTAGCTAAAATAAATTGTCCATCTATTCATCTGATATAACATGTATGTAAAAAAAAATCGTAGACAAGTAATGTTAAAATACGATTTGAATTTCTCCATATTTCAATATCAAAAATGTATTCTCACCAACAGATTGAGTCGTTGCTACAATAGATTTTTGTATACAAGTGCAAAAACCTAAGTGGTTATTTTTAGTTATCGATATCAAATATCAAAATGATAAAGTAATAAATTTCAATGGGTCTAAAAATTTACCCAAAGTACATGTAATTATATATCTCACAATTTTATAAAACTACTATTTGAAAACATGCATACCCAGGGTTAGAAACTCCCTAAAATTACAACTCGCAAATAATTGCGAGTACCAAGAAAGTGAACTCGCAATTTTATAAGACTACTCGCAATTTTCATATAAAGTTAAATTTATATTAATTAAATACATGTAACTTAAGGAAAAAGTAACTACTGTACAATACACAAAATATAACTACAGTGTGCCTTTTTTTTAAATTACTGATTTAAATCAAAAGCGTTGTGTTCTGTCATATTATATAATTTTGCTACAGTTTCAATGCAAAAAAATCAACTCGCAAGTTTTTGCGAGTTACCTAATTTTTAACTCTCAATTTGGGAATTCTAACTCGCGTTTTGCGAGTTGTATATAGTGAATTTCGAACCCTGATACCTGGATGTTTGACGGGTTGATCTAGAAAAATGTGAAATTATATTAATACATTTATGATCACTACAACAATACACGTATTAAGTTTAAAATGAGATAATGCCATGGTATAGCAACATTTAAAAGTACATAGATATGCTTAATTGAACGCCTAAGTGAGAGATCCTAGGTCATTCAAAAAGATAAATCTGCTAATGATGAAATGAAGAATTTAAAATAAACACACTTTGAATGCAATATGTTCTTATAACATTTTCTTCGAGCTTGTCTTCCTATAAATTTATGCAATGTAACAAAAACTCACTATTTATTATTTCATTTAAAGGAATACAGGTGTCTCAACTGAACTGGAAATAGCTATGAAAAAGCTTAAAAAATATTTAGTATTGTAGGTATACAAAATTAGCATAGCCATTGGTCATTCCTCCCTTCAAATGTTGACTGTTCAAATAAACATATACTTAGAAGTAAAAAAGCTTTATTTACTTAGAGTCTATCTTCACCAATATTCTAACAACAATCGGGAATGCACTATCTTGCTACTTCAAATGGATATTACATCAGACTTAAAGTAGATTGATTTAGTTTAAAGCTAAGGAATTGGAATTTAAAGTGTGTTTTGATTAGATATGATTTATGTTTTCTTTTAAATGCTTTTATTCAAACTTTATCGAGAAATTAAAGAAGCAAAGACGCACAGGTAAGATATAAATACTAGTATCTACAAATTATTCGCACACAGCATTATCAAATTATTAATGGTTAATGTTTAGTTTTAAGCATCATGATTTCTTTTTTTTTTTTTTACACTCTAGCACGTCTCATACTTTTACTGCTTTTTAAATTGAAAATTACTTACGTGCACAGACACATCGATGGTGACCATGTACAACGCTACAGGTAGGATACATGCTGCTACCACACGTATACCCATCACAGTCGTTGTCATGATTACAGTGAAGCGACTCTATTGAAATATTTGATAACTAAATTAGTATATATATATATATATATATATATATATATATATATATATATATATATATATATATATATATATATATATATATATATATATATATATATATATACACTTTAAAAATATAAGGACTGAACAAGAACTTTAAAAATATAATATAAGGACTATTGTTTAAAAGTGCATCCCCCAAATAGTTGTGGAAATATTGATGAAGCTAGAGCAATGACACAAATTTGATGTTTGTAATTTTCAAAAATTACAGTAGATATTGCAAGAGCATTTCTGACCGATATAGTATTAAAAACCCTGTTAAGATGGGATCTTTTTATTTGAAAGTTACGAAAACTTCCAATTTTTAACGAGTTTGATTGACATATATTATTGCAATTTCATGGACTAAAATTTATATATAATATTTTAGGAAAATTGGAACTGGAAATCCAAGGTGCATAAAGAAAAAATATTTTAACTATTGTCAAGAAAAGTAAAAATAGTAAAAAAAAAAAAAAAAAAAAAAAAAAAAAAAAAAAAAAAAAAAAAGATAGAAAGAAAAAAAGAAAAAAGGTTCTTCGTCTCTCGAAATCTTACTATGACGAAGACTGCAGCGAAGCACTATTTTTGAGAATCAAATTCGCGAGGGAACTACTATACTATATAAATTTCAAAAACACATACACAGAGGGAGACTTTTTTGATTTATTAATTTAATACGCCAATTGTATAATTTCACACTATAATAAAAAAAATTGAATTCATGGATATTGAAAAAATTCGTTTGAATATATAATTATATTGTTTAAAAAAAGCGATCTTTTACATCCCCTATTTTTTAATACAACTTTATTTAATGGGGATGTATTACATATGTACATGTACATGGATGATCGTGCAATATTAGCTTTATTTTCAAAAGGATTTTAAAAAAATACATTTAAAAGCATTTATTTACCTGAACAGCTACAGTAGTGGTGATTATGGTTACAGTAGCTAACCTGCTGACCAGAGCAACTAGAACAATCAGAATGGCTTTGGCAAGAGGGCTTGTCTACAGTAGAACACACAACTTAATACCTCGTGGTCTTGCAAATAGTAGCAACCTTATCGTTGGTGTTAGCTCCAAGTTGTAATAAGGAATTAAAGAAATAGATTAGATATCTTCTTTTAAGGACGCACATGCAATGTACAAGGTTACGATACTTAATATTGATTTACTGTTTAATGAATTCTGAATAAATAGTCAACACAATTTGAATTTGATCAGAAAACACGCGCCCAATGGATTAGAATGCAAAAAAATCAGGCAAACGCACAAATGCATCTGCCAAAGACTGTTGAACAGAGTATCACAAAGTTGAACAATATAAAAATTGTTTCAATCGTCAACTTCCCTTACTTATGCAGCAATATACCCTTATCACCTGCATATGGGATGTATATATCTCAGTTGATTCGATACGAAAGAGCATGCTCATGAACAATTTCGAAAACGAGGTAAGTCATTGATAACAAGAATATCAACAGTCTTGCTTAAAGTCATCATTTTGTACGTTCTATGGCCGATACAATGACCTTGTCAAGCAAATAGAGTCTATCATTAAGTCTTATGCTCTGACGTTTTTCATACTAATTGTTAGGCCATTATTTACACACTGTATTGTCGACGGACTTTTTCATTATTTCCCAGTCATGACAAGGAGCACACAACGGGTGTGACCGGTTGGCAGGGGATGCTCACTCCCTCATGGCAGCTGATCTCACTTCCAATGTTTTTGGAGGTCGCTGTTTAATCTGCACCCAATTTGTATTGATTTAATGGACTTTGAGCTTGAATACTATTCGTTATCTCCTTATTTCATTTCTTATGAAAGTCAAAGTAAATGATATTTTGTAACTTAAAAGAGAACATTTACTTTTTAATCGTTATCACAATTTATTGATTTATTCAAGTTCAGATTACCTTCATACATTGTGACAAGAATATGAATTAAACTGATTAGGAGTTATCGTACATAATACAATTTGTAATGTCAGTATACACTAAAACTCGGATAAAAGGAAGTCACTTGCACCTTGAATTTTGCCATCTTACAACCTATTTTTTTCTATATATATGTATAAAAAACAAAGTGAAACGTCTTCTACGGAAAAAAAAAGTTCCTTTTCACGAGATTTCCTCATAAACGAGTTCTTTATAACACGGGTTTTACTGTATTATCAAAATGTGATAAATACCTTTACATT